GAGAGAGAGAGAGAGAGAGAGAGAGAGAGAGAGAGAGAGAGAGAGTTTTCACTTAATAAGCTGTACCAAAACGCTGCAATCAAAAATTTTTAATAATAAGAAATAAGTAGTATATTTAATTTAAGAATATTTAAAAAAAATCGCTGTTACTTTCGAGAAAGAAGGAAGAGCGATTAATTTGATTGATGAAACCAAAAAGATTATTTAACCTAGGATTGTATGAAATTTTTCATGAAAGATTGCTGTTATTCAAAGAGAAATATTTTATAAATATGCAAATAAATAACTGACTTCGATTATAATGACGGTCACAATACACGAGGAAGTCGTGTCGAATCTGGCACCATTCGTTTGTAACTCTTTTACTGAAAGTGTAATCGGCATACTGATATGTATGTGTGTGTATATATACACACACACACACACACACATACATACATACATACATACATACATATATATGATATACATATATACATATACAGGTGTTTGACAAGTAATAAAAAATTTTGTTGCATAGGGATAGAATGGACTAAATTGAGAAAAAGTCCTGTACCAATTTTCGCAATTGTTAACAAGATATTAATTTATAAAAATATCTCATTAATTATATTGCGAAAATTGTAAAGTGGTACAGGATCTTTTTTCTCAGTTTAATTCATTTTACCCCTATACGACAGAATTTTTCATTACTTGTCAAACACCCTGTATATCTTAAACATATATGTATATATGAGGCACCATTTTATTATGTACAATTATATTTACTCGGAGGAGGATTTATCCAAGTAAAAAATACGACTTTTTTTATGTACTAGATATTCTTTTATGAAAGCTAGAGAATTATCACCGAGAGAATATTTGAGCGGCGCGATGCACATTACTTTTTTCGTGAAAATCTTTCTTTACGTTACCTCGATGTTTTCGTAAAACACTAGTACCGATGCTGCTAATGATAAAAGTGAAGGCATCAATGATCGCGACAGTGACGCAAAGTTACGAGCACGACACGTTCGTGAAATAATGCTGTTACTCTAAACTCACCGAGTAATTATGCGATAATTCGTATGTTTGTTCGGCACCGTCGAGTTGGCGTAATTAGAGGAGAGGAAAATTCCTTTATGAATCGCAGCGATTTTTTTCAGATCCCATTCACGAGCGGGTTGTACGGAGCGCACATGAACACGGTCCCGAGGTCCTAGAGCAAATCGTAGCATCAGCTCGCTGCGCCGGGTGATTTGTTTCTGCATAATGATAGTCGACGACGACAATGCAGACGGCAGAGAGAGTCGCAGATGATTCCATCGTACAGACGGGCACCTGTACAGCATGCGCTGTTGTGCCCGCGACTCCACGGGCTACACAGCGCAACCTTTCCTCGTGCCATACAGCACCTTCAGCTCCGGCATGATAATCTTTTTGATAAGCGCGTTCGTTTTGGCGGTAAGCATATCGCGATGCGGATCTTTCTTGAAGATCTTGATACCAGGCCGGTGCACTAAGAAGGCGTTGTCCAGAATAAGAAAGTCATAATCGAGAACACAGAGCGCGTAACCCTGCAAACATTCGCAAGTGATAACTTAACAGCTTTTGAAATTGTTTATATAACAGTAATAATGTAAAAGGAGATATCGAGAATCTTATTTTAAATTTCTTAGATCGTTCATAGTTAGGTTCTTATTTTAAGACTGTTTTAATTTCTGTCTTAAGATGTTAGTACAAGATGTTGTGATTGGTTTGTATCTTAAGATCGTACTTAAAATGGTCTTAAATAAGAACAAACTATGAGAGTACTTATCTTATATAAACACATATATTTCTTAATTTTATCCTAATTATATTGTATATAATTTTTTCCTAATCATAGATATATTAATTACATTTTAGAAGAAATATTAACATTTATATAATTATTATTCTAAATTATATATGATACATTATTATATACGTTACGTATAATTTACATATTTTATTTTCATAAATAATACACTGATGTTTTAAAATAGTGACGTATTTTATTTATTACACGTTGTATTTTTATTCAAAACATTTTGCGTAGACAAGTGAACATTTACCTGCGTCATTTTATCGCTCTTTCCCTCCCAACTAAGTCTTTCGTCGTATAAAGGATCGTTATTGGTCCCGATGAAGATCGGCTCCCAGTGTACAAAGCTGCCAGTTCTCTTGCCAACGTGAAACACGTGTAGGTCCTCTGTTTCTGGCGCTTCCTGCCATTCCTTGCTCTTTGGCACGTTATGGCAGCCGGAGCATAATTTCTTATGAAAGGGTATGGCGGTGCCTGCTTTCAGCATCTGCATCTGTAAATTTACAAGACTCTTCGAAACTCTATAAAGTATTCAAAACGCAAATAAACAGATCTGTTTCCGTCCCCGAATACATCTGCCTATTAAATTATTATTGCGGAAGGTTTTGTCAGACTGGAAATGGATGTCAGATCTGTATTATGTGACATTTCGACCTCCAACTCACGTCATTCACCTCCATACATTTGGAAAAGAAATAAAAAATAAAAAGAATAAAAGAATGTTACGCAGACAAATCGTATACGTGCGTCGACCATCGAGATTACAATCACTCTCTGTTATGCTGCGCCAGTTCTGAATTCTGACATGACAAAAGGTGTATTGTGCCGTGCCGTACCGTGTGGTACGGCAACCGGACAATAGCGACGCTAATTCTACATATCAAGGTCCATGGTCAAAGGAAGCTCCATTGATTCGCCGTCGCGTCCACACTATTAACGACGCACGACACACTGATTCGCCCTCGTCGCGCTCTCTTTCGCGTGTGCTTAATTGCCCTCAACGGACCCCGATCGTACGCGGATCAGCGAATGATTCGCGTATGGCAAACGTACCAGGCGCGTCTTATTGTTGGGCGGCTGGCTCTTCTCCTCCACTTCGAAGATGGACAACACAAAGACCTTGGGATTAGGCTTATGGAGAGCTGGCTGATCTCGCTTGCGGATCATCTCGAGGAACTTGACGGGCAGATTCGGGCTGGGATACAGCTCGATGTCGCTGGGGAACACATAGAAGGTGGGCGCGGACTCGCGCGCTATGTTGCGGCCCACGTTCACCGGGTACAGTAGTTTCTTCTCATTCTTGTACATCTTTGCGAAGCTGACGTTCACCCACGGTGGTCCGAGCGAGCAGTTATACGTATCGGAGACGATCTTCTCTGATGGTGGTATCTAAGAGATAGGATCGCGTAAATAAACATTTGAAAAGAAAACACCAGAAAACTTTAGTTGACGAGCTTGACAAAACTGCAGCGAATGTAATTACGTAAAAGCTTTATAACGATCTTTCGTATTTCTTCGCGTTTATATACGTACAATATAGGATGTTTTGCAAAACGCGAGCCACGCGAGCTAATTCCGTCGTCGCGAATAAAACCACATGCGGAAACCACTGTGTTTTACGATATCCAGATACGCATATCCATGAGAGCCGTTACAATAAATAGACAGCAATAACGGCAACGAACAATTCTAGTTCGTGGTACGAGCTAAATACCCTTCGCGGACGAATTGCATGTGCATAAGGTGCAGATTCAAGCGCGCATAGTACATTGGAGGAACAAATTACCGCGGGCGAACGTAATGTTCGATATCTAATTAACTTAATGTATTAGCGGCATTAACAGGCACATAGTCGTCGATTTTTACATGAAGTAAACAATCAACAATTGTAGAGAAAACAATATAGAAAAAAAGAATCTCGATTTTCCGATAAGAAGAGATTGCTACAAAAAAATTTTAAAGATTTCAAAAATTCAGTATAAATAAATATTTTTGTAATTTTACGAATATATACGTAATTGATTAAAATAAATAACAGCAATTATAAAATAATAATTGTTTTGTGCGTAACAAATTAATGTAGCTTTCGATTCTTCTGATTGCGTGAAAGTCTAGTGAGATGTCCTACTAATGTACAATATTATATTATAGATTAACTTTCATCATCTTGGTTCTCAATTTACTCTTTATCTTTTTCTAATACTAAGAAAAAGAACAGTTAAATCAAGATTAATTTTACGTTGGCGAAACCGGACCTTACTGTTCATCTTTTTATAGTTATACGAATTAAAAAGGAATAAAATTGAACTGAGATTAAAGTTAATTTACCAATAAGAGAGTTAGAAACAAGCATACATAAATTGGTATAATAAAGTCAACGTGTTATATTACCATACTCGATACTTGCAAGACGTGATTAGATTCACTGTACAGGACTCAAGAAGGAGATTTGGTAAACACGCGGGGCATTCAGTAAGAGGCTAAAATGATTAATAGGAATGAATGTTCATTCGTCAAGTTTTATATATCAAATTAGGATATTCGTCAGATTCGCGGGGTATATCTTCTGTAATCCTCGAGAAGAACTCGGGAACAAATTGATGAGACAGCCAAAACTCGAGGGATAGTCTTGGATCATCGGGTTGTCTATTTAAATATTTACCACTTTTGGCACGTGTTTACTGCTGAAGAAGACGTGAAAGGTCACCAGTTGAGAGACCAAGGGGCTGCCACAGTTCCTCGAGTACCTGATGGCATCGAGGGTCGCCGGGAAGTCGGTGCCGGGTGCGTGCATGGCGATCGATATCGGTGCTCGCCAGCGCTCCAGTAGCGGCTCCAGATTGTCGAGAAACGTGTAATCAGCGTGCGTGGTGTATGTCACGCTCTCCCAGCATTTCACCGCCATGCTCATCGGCACGTAATTGTACAACACCCAGTAATCGCCGCGCTGTGCTCGTCTAGGCTCTGTAGATTTCTCATTGCAGGGCACGGCCTCCCTCAAGCTCATTGGTTCGCGCGCGACGCTTGTCGTGCTGTTCCTCATCTAGACAAGAACGAGAAGAAGAGAGAGTCGCTTTAATCACTGATTGAGGGGGAAATTTACATTTGCATGAAAAGCAGCGGAAATACCAGGAATAGCGCAACGGCGATCGCCTACCAACCTGAATTCCTCTACAACATCCCGACGACACGTTCAAACCGCGATCACTTTCTACGAGCTTAGATAGAGAAATGATGTACATTACTATATCATACACTATAACACTAGAATTAACGTCCACGCCGGTGATATCGCTGGTAGAATTGCCGGAGGTGTCAATTTGGTAATTTCATATCCTTATTTTCGGTTAGTGAAAAATTACTTAAATATTATTTGTTATCATTATAATATTTATTTTATTCCGTATGTCTAACACAAAAGATAAACAAATTGAAATGATTATCGAAGCTAAAATGGCACCGTCTCGCGTCGGTTCTAGTGTTAATAGTTGAATGAAGATAATGAGAATACATTTCAGTCCCTATCATTACTAATTCAAATTAATTACGACACATAATCTGATTCTAATTCTCGTTACATCTTTATTTCATTATCATAAGCTACATCTTGCAAGTGAACCGTGTTCAACAATTAATCTAAACATCAAGAAGCCATTCAAGGATCAAAAAGGGAAGAGAACAACAGGTAAAAGGAAGAAGCGACGGAAGGAGTGCGAGTACCGTCTGATTACGCGAGTGTTCCTGCGGCTTATCGAGAGCATCGGCCTTGGCCCCGTTGGGAGGCATCGTAGTGACCAGGCTGATCCCGAGAGAACGGTCAGCGCCGCCGTTGTTTGTCGGTGCCGCATTATTTGTGGCGCCAACAAGAGCGGCTGACGACGAGGAGGCTGATGCGCCAGCTGCAACGCCTTTCTGGGTGCCATTTATGAGGTCGTTTAGGCCACCTCCGTAGGTATCCGACTGAAGTGGCGCCGCCGCCGCCCAGTTGGTCGGAGGTTCCTCGATCCACGGTCCGGACGAGCCGATGTGAGCGCACACATACAGCAGTACGCACACGTTCAGCACCACCGAGAGGCGCAGCGCCCAGTTTCTGCGGGCAATGGCTGCGATGCTCATCCTCTAATTCCGATCGCGGTGATGAGAAGACAGCCGGGAAAGAGGATTCCTCAAGAGAGAATCCTATCTGGCGGTGATGTCAATTTCCTCTCGTGTCGTTATAAATGCGATTTTCTTGCTGGTCTCGACCTGCAACGTCCATCTCTTAGCGGTCCACGACTGCGTGCCGATCAGGACATGCACATGGTTGCTCGGAGGCTGTCGACCGAGGCTCAGTTGCGTGTAGCACCTGAAACGAGAGTGGAAGCAAACCTTTGATTATGACGGAGGAGGGAGGTCGTTACAAATTACTTGGAGTTATTTTGCAATTTTAGCATACACGCGCGAGTGTGCGTGTATTATTAGGCGCTCTTTAAACGATTGCAATAGCCCTCCCTCATCCCTCTTCCCCTTCTTCTAGAAAACAAGATTGATGTTCGTTTCTACCGATATATAGATTGACTTTAAATTCGGTTTAACTTAATTTTTATCTCTTTCTAATGCTCGTTTTTATAGTTTAATTTTAATCTTGCAAGTTCAACGAACTCTTTATCTTTTTCGAGTTCTAAGAATTGAAAGCTACGTGTATATTGATGTAAGTTGGATCAAGTTAATCTACATTGGTCTAAAAGTTAGGAAAAGATAAAGATTGAATTAAATCGAGATTAAAGTCAATCTATGTTGATGAATGAATGTAAGAAGAAGTATAGTATCCATTGATACACAACTATTTTGTATATATAACTCTGAATCTTTGAAAACAAAAATTAAGTCAATACGAATAAAAAATCTATTGATCTTGATTACTTATCTTAATTCTCTCTGACGAGCCAATCGAGCTCGTTAGGCAATTTAAAGGCAAAAGACAAATTTATAAATGGCCTTGAACAAAACAATAAAAAATATAATAGATTAAAGAACGACTGAGATTAATTATATCTTTAGTTACCCTTTAATCTTTTTCTTCATTATTTATAAATCAAATTCTTTATTCCGACTAATATAAGCGAACTTTGTTTAAATTATATACAAATACATATATGATATCCCATAGATATATCGACGTAATCCATAAAATAAATTAGCACATAGTGAAAATAACTGCTATACAATTTCAAATATTTATGGCAGCCTTCGCTGCATAGCATAGCTATACACTTTGCTTCGCCTTGTTCCATCTCGCTTCACAATAGCTTCTTTCTTCTTTTTACATTAATGGCACTTGCCTCCTAAAAGTTGATTGGAGATCAATACAGCCAGATCTCACGTCTTATGAAAGTTACAAAGTCGGAAAATGATGATGCAATGTCCGAGTATCGCGCGGACACCGGGCGTCTACGTCGTCAGGACGGGTTGTCCAAATTCGCGGAACAAACAAGAGAGATACAAATGCTCAGTCTAAGTTGACTACTTTCAAAAATATACGATTAGATAGCACTCGAACCAAAACGCGTGGCCGAGTGATTCTCCAGAACTCCCGCTAACAACAGCTGCGATATCTCTTCGATCTCTTGAATATCTCTCGTTTATCTCACGATCCAGTTTGTAGCGCGTGCTGCACCGACAAGGATAACTTCTCTCTATCTCGCGCATCTTCCTCCCCGTCAACGTCAAGTGTCGTAACTCAGAACTCTTCGCGACATTATCGAATCGGGAGGTCCGAATATTGAGCAACGACAGATTCCTTTCGCGAGACCGCGTGCATCCCGCGTGAATTGAGCGAGCGAATATTTAGTACTTATATGATCAGAAGAATTTGTTCTATTTGTACTTCTTTTGTTGATATAGATCATTTTTCTCAATGTAACAAAATAAATAAAAAATTTCCTTTCTTTTTTTCCTTTAATAGAGTTTTACATAGTTTGCGTAAATGTCGCAGAAAATGTTAGAAGTGAGACATCGACTCCACATTGACTGAAGAGACTTTAATTAAAAAATAATACCGTATTTACCGTATTTACACACACTCACACTGATACACATAAAACTGGGTCACCTCGCCGTAATACAAGACAAACGCTTCTAAATGAAAAGCGACGGAAAACAGGCTTTAAAATTACTTCGGTAGGAAAACATTGTAATAGTATTTCGTGCCACGAGAACAATTTATGACATGCGATATTCAACCGTTGTAAGTCAGCTAGGCGTATTTTAATTTTAAAATTGAAATTATTAGCGGCGCATTAGGAAATTGCACAATGCACGCGCGATTTCTGCTTACAAAATTTACTCCGCGACTTAAGAATTAAAGATGCAGAGACACGCGTAATAAATGTCTCTTCTGCTCACTGTTTTATATAGCTATATTATCGCGACTCGTACTTCAAATGTTTACGTAGTTGTCTCAGATAAAGTGCAATGAGATTTTTTCATCACAAAAAAATGACAATCTCGCAGTGGACCAATAATAATTTACACTGTTATCGATATCGTTTAATCAATAATTTTATATCGCCGTAAGTATCATCATACAAATATTAGTGTAAGATACAATACATTGACAAACGTATTTATGACTAATGGCAAATACAAATTTGTGTATAATGAAATATTAAAATAATTACAGGAAAAGAATTATTTCTTAAATTTACTCTGAAAATACGGTAATTGTGGGACAACATTATATTTCGAAGAATTTTTATGTGTAAATCTCTCACATTCATTAATAAAACTACAATAGAATATAAAATAAGTTTGATTAATTTTTTTTACTGAAGTGCATATATGGTAAAAATCTTTAAAATATTATATTATACCATGACTGTTATATAATTTTAGAGTAAATTTTCAGAAATAATTCTTTTTCCATGTATCATTAAGAGAGTCTGTTTTTACAGTTATTAGTATCTATAATAATATGAGTACAACAACAATCTTACATTTATAGTTTTACCAATTATAAAAATAAATGTATTATGAACATGATAATTATATAAAGAATAAAAAATATATATATATATATATAATAAATAAAATAGATACATACATTTTCATGTAGTAAATGTACAGTCGTAATTATCAAGACTGTAACTATTTCCTGAACATTCGTTTACTATTTATATGGTAATAATAACTAAAAAATAAAAAATATAAGAGAAAAGATGTAAAAAAAATAAAAGGAAAATAAAGATATAATCACATTCATGATATAATTGTATAAATGTATACCATTTGTGATTATCGTAATGCAGTTGAAGCAGCTGTTAGCTCAGTTAAACAAATATATAACCATTTTTTTTTTCTTTTAATGTACGATAAGAGGAGATAGCCAGCTTTGCAAGTTTTTTTTTTCATACAATGCGTAACTCGGATAGAAGTGATTTCCGATGTAGAACCGTCACGCCCATCCGTCGTTCACGATAAGAGCTTGATGCTCGATTTGACGACCGTGTGGTCAATACTGCTCGTGGTCAAGAATGCTCGTTAACACATTCACTGCCATGACGGTTATTCATAATGGGTAACAATTTTTATTAATGTTTATAAAAATTAAAATTATTAATGTAATTTGATTATTTAATAGAGAATTTTAAATGATATAAACAACAACTTATAATAAAGGTGTGCTAATCAAACCACCAAGGTATACGTAATTATATGGTATATAACCAAGTTATCTCATCATTACATGTGCTTATTTTCAAAATTTTTTGGAATGAAATCTTACTTTAAAGAGAAGTGAAAATTCACTCTTCAGAGACTGCAGAGTTTATAAATTTTAAAGAATATGATAACGAAAATTTTATTACACGATGTGATATTATAGCGAGTCATACAAAACTCGCTGGACAATGTGTTAATACCCCCGACAAAGATTGAACGGTAAAAAAAATCAAATAATTAACAGGGAATCGTGAAATGACTGGGGGCCATCGCGAAGTCGCGCCGCGAAGAAGGATAAGTATGGAATAAAATCTGCCGAGCGCGCGAAGGCCTTGATTTCAGCGACAAAAAGCGACAGATTTTTAATTATCGACTTTCCTCAAAGAGCTGGTCATCCGTTCACCATCGATCGCACGAGGCAGGAAAACTCATCAACGAATGACCGGGTATAAGTATAGGAGTTCTTTGATCGCAGAAACGCAAAACGATCACTATTTTTAAAACGTTAACGTACACTGTTTGTCTACTTGTCATGCAATTCTCTCGTAAAAAGATTGCGTTTATAAATATGAAAAGTTTGTGAAAAAAAACCTCGTGATAACAGATCGCGCTGTTATCTCGCGGAAATTTCACTCGATTCTTTCGATGCGGCTCGATGTGCAAAACGATAATATAAAACCCCCGTGAAACCCCGTTTTCGTTACAACTTTAAGAATATTATACGCTGACAATCGCATTTTCCGTCATGCTTATTAGAGCATGTTACGCACGACGTTGAGATTTACAATTAGTTATTATCTTTCATTACAGACATAGTGCTATAATTATGTATAAAAATAAAATGTTCATACACATATAATTATATGAATTATATAGTATATATATGTATATGAATTATAAAATTGTATAAATGTATATACATATATAATTATATTATAAACAAAATGCTAATTTTGAAATGCATGCGTGTATATTTTAAAGAAAATAATTATTTAAAAATAACATCATTAATTTCATAGAATTTATACGAATTTGACTTTGGTTTTTCAAATCTTCTTGAATTGTATCGTATAAGTCCTATGAAATTATTATAGTAATGTCATTTTTAAATTATTCTTATGAGAATATAGTAATAATAGTTTTGTATAACATTAAAATAATAACATAATGATTAACACTATAATAACAATATAATAAAAGGATTTGATATAAATAGGTAAATTCAAATATTTACTGCAAAACATGAACATTGACTGTATGTTTATATATTAGAATTTTAACAAATCAATTATATATTAGAATTTTATTTTTTATTCGACTTGCGTATTTGTATTAATTCATTGACGATAAATGGCATTGTCCGACTAATGAGATGCTTGTTGTATATTGCATGAATAATAAATCAACGTTTCAGCCTT